GGGGACACAAGAAAATAATTGGAAATAATCTAAAGACAGTGGACACAAGTTCCATGTGTGAAAGAGGCTTTTAGTAGCAGTACTCTAATATAGATAGTAGTAGTATAATGAGTATTACCGAGGAACTGCTGCCTCTCGGCGCGTCTCTTGAGCGCAGCCCTCAGGAGGTCAGAGGTCACGTCGGGCAGCTCTGCAGCCTCTCTGTACGTGTTGATGGCTTTCTGCAGCAGGTCATTACTGCGCTGCTTCTCCGCAAGGTAGTCCTCGGCCTGCAGAAACACATCAGTTTAACGCAGCGTCAGAACACAATGGTGTCAGAATGTGCAGGTATTTTATGATTTGTATTTAAACAAGAATGCTTTTTCGTTTAAGTCGCTTTTATTCGCCATACTTCAAGCTTACGACACCTCAAAGCATCTAATTTAAGAGATTTGAGCAACCTGGCAGTCAACATTTGTTATTCTTTGTGTCCTCCTTAAGTTGTAAGAAATACGATTATAATGAGGCAATACATCAATAGAGTGAAAAAAACTATAATTCTGTAATTTATTATATTTCCCATGAGCTTATACGAAAATAAAACGAGAATTTGGTCATATTTGAATAAAAATGTGTTTGTTTTGTTTTGTCTGTCTTGTCTTGTCTTGTCTTGTCTTGTCTTGTCATAGACATGGAAAAAGGCACTGCTAAATATATTTAGTTTGAATACACATTTACCGTGCAGTACAAGCTCCCTGTATTGCAGTATTGCAGTACTGTACCTGAGCCTTGCCGTAGCGGGAGCGGGGGCTCTGAGGATGCTTCTGCACCAGAGCCTCAAACGCTTTCAGCGCCTCATCCAGTTTCCCCTTATGGAAACAGAACAAATAAATGCATCAATTATAAACTTTATTATGCTTGAATTTAGCACCATTTTTTTTACGTTGGTGGATTTGTAGGTGAGAATCTGTGTCAGGTCTGTACCTTCTTCCGAAGTTTTTCTGCAGCGTCGATTTCTGCTTTAATGGTTTTATCAAACTTATTAAATAACTTTGGTTTCTTCTTTGCTAGATGTGAGAGTATGGAAGAACAAACAATAAAAAAAAAAGAGCATCAGTGGAATCAAATGCAAGGCATAACTTTGCATTGTTCATGTGTTTGATTAAAATCAGTTTTTACCTTTTTCTTTGAGCTTCTCCTCGGCCTGTTTCTCTGTTGGTTCTTAAAAACAGCAAAAGAGACACTTTAACATTTAATGCCCACCATGTTCAGGAATTTAGTATTTTCACACTATACGATTATTATTTTTACTGAGTGAAGGATCTGAATACTTAGTACAACACTGAGTATAAAGTGTAGTTTATAAACTTTGATAATTATGGATAGTGAAGCTGTCATCTTACTGCTGGCCACTAGATGGTGGCTTTCTACTGCTGAGTGTGAGTGAGTGAGTGAGTGAGTGAGTGAGTGAGTGAGTGAGTGAGTGAGTGAGTGAGTGAGTGAGTGAGTGAGTGAGTGAGTGAGTGAGTGAGTGTGTGTGTGGTGCGTGCGT